CCCCCCCCAAATAAAAAATACCCTTTCGAATTGATATATGCATATATACATTTAAGTCGTTTATCGATCCCGACTTTACGAGATCAACTACATTAACACATATCTCTTGAGTGTCCCGCAGTCGCTGCTGTCCACGTAGGAGGAAACAGTTTCTCCAATGAAGCCTGACTACGATGAAATCTTCAACTTGAAGTGAACTTTACAACTCTTTTTTGTTTTGAAACCTCGGAAACAGCCGCTTGATCATTTCTAATTACTTCTTCCTAGGAAATAAACGATATTGTCGACAGTGGTCATCTGTACGAATAAATTGGTAAATGCATGTAGTGACTTGTGTTCCTGCCGATCAAACCCTCGCTGCTACACCTCCGATGCAGCTCTCTAGCATGATCTCGACTGGTGAATTCAGAAAGAGATGGAGAAAACACTGCAAGTATTATAGATGGCATGGAACAAGTTGAAAATCAACAGAGCTCTTGCATAACGCTAGATAAGATTGCTAGTATCCGTACAGAAGCAGTAATTTGCTGCACAGCTCGTCGTTCGAACGCTTCCACGTCTGCAAGTATGGCGTAGGTTTCACTATCCGCAGTCGCTTTCCGAGCACAGGTTTACGGTCAGCAGTCGTACCCTACTACGGGAAAGTATTGACTGCAGTATAATACTTCGAAATATAAAATAGTGCTATTGGAGCGTACGAATCGTTACGTATACACCACACACCAACGCTAACTGTAAATACCTTGCTGGTCGTTCACATGATAGGTCTGTTGCTCCAAAGTCTCACAAGTCCTTTCGGTCAGTTAGCGACTTGCGCGGGCGGAACACAACGCGGAAGAATGACAAAGGACCGGTTCACGGTCAACCCTTATCCAAGTCTCCAGGTATCTGAAGCAGAGCGAAAACAGCTAATCGAACTCGTAGATGGATTCGTCGCAGACCATTTCCAGGAATACGAGGACTTCGTTGTCGTCGATAAGCGCCAAGTAGACGAACAACGTTGGAAGCATTTCAAGACTAAAGACAACCTTCACGTATATTCACAACGTCGTCAAAAGGAAGACGTTAGTAAATCAGAAAGCGACCCAAGCGACTGTGATGTCGCTACTCCACTTAAAGACATGCCGGTGGTATTACGCGTGGGAACGCTTGTAGGCGATCTGGACGACCTCATGTTTGGAGTCGTAAACCCTACGTTGGATGTGATGCGTGTGAAGGCTTCGTACGTGCACGACCTCGACGCTGCCTCGATCCTATGTCCGATTATCGAACCTAGTGACGAAGAACCATTCCGTTCTCTTATCATCAAGTGGATGACGATCGATGCGCCGCTACAATCCACAAGCCTCGTGAAAATGCGCGACTTCGTGTATATCGAGGCAACGGGAGTTGTCCACTTCGCTAACGGCGACCGTGTCGGCTACCACTTGATCCATTCGATCGAATTCCCGCAGACAAAGCCGAGACCTAATGTGGTACGTGCAAATTTGTCGTACTTTGGCTTCTTTCGACAACTTGAGCACAACGTTATCGACGCATTTGGATCGAGTACTGTAGCCCCCGGTGGTGACGTTATGCGGTTTATTTCTCTTCGTGTGGCTACGGAGGCCCTCCTGTCTGCGAATAATCTCGTGTATTGTGGTCAGATGAAAAAGTTATCGTGGATGTTGCAAAGACAACACGCGAGTGAACGTCATAGTCAGCGTAACGAGAATTGCGTCATGTGCAGTAAGAAACCATCTTCGGGACTTCTACGTGGAATTGGCAAAAGTACTTGTAAGCTCTGCTATGGCTGCGTATGTTCCTCGTGCAAAATTCGAAGACGCATCAGTTTTATTACGCTGGATGGGAAGCTCACACAGCGTAAAATATCGTTCTGCTCACAGTGTATAAGCAAAGCTACAACGTGCACCGCGAAGGAGGCTGCGAGAGACCAAGCAACTGGATACAAGGCGTACAAAGCCTTCTCGACATCCTCCATGTCGGACACGGCGTCCGGGAATGATATGTTCTAAGAAGTTTTAACTGTTTATCCCGTGAAGTCAGATGGTTGTTTAAAGATTTTCAGAGTGAATCGTGTTGTTTTCGCCGGGTCCAAAAAGTTTTGCTACCTGCGCTTACAATTTGTTGTAAACATCTTTTGTGAAGTATTAGTGTTTGGTTTGGTTGCTTTCGTTTTTGTTTCGTGGCGACATACTCGACGGTAAAAGACTACTTCGCAGTATAATTCTCCCATTTTTTTATCAACTGAGAATTTACTAAAAGATTGCTAGTAACGAACCTTGGCAATACATTTGTGTAGGTACTCCCAGTACTTCAGTCGCGTTATCGAAGTACACAAATCTGTGGAGTGTAGTATGCTGCGACCCACATTGTTGCTGAAAGCTTCAGTCAGAAGCTAAACTACGAGCTTTATAATTTTTCGCTGCTGTTTAGACCAATTGGCAAAGGTATTCCGCCTACCACAGAATCCAGTTTTACGCGGGTAATTTCGTGTTGTGCGTTAGTTTTGCTAGATATTTTGGAGGGATCGGTAGTTGGCACGAATCCACGCAAGAATCTTCTGTGATCCCATTCCCCACTGCCCATTCCAGAGGAAATTTTGTTTCAGTATTGTAATTTACGAACAAATTGACTTCTTGCAACCAGGGTACTCTTCACAAAGCCATCGAACAACATCAAGATGGCCCATTCTTGCGGCAATCGCTGCAGTTTCCACGACACTCCGGTAGCTTCGTTCTTCGTATCTAACTGCACTCGTAGGAATCTGAGCTCGAATACGAAGATACTTTTGGAGTTGCCATTCACAGCAGCAATGTGAATGCTAAACTGACCTCCTTGCCTAATTCTGTAAGTTCACCACCTTCTTGTGCATCATTGTCTAACAGCCAACGTACAATCCCCAAGTTTCCAGATTTCGCTGCAGTTACTACCAACCCCTCGACGTCATCGAGCTGGTCTTTGTCCTCTAACCACTGCAGCATATCTAAACGACCTTGAGTTATAACTTTCCGAGCCACGCGACGAGATCGTCGACAACTTCTGGTGTTACGGTTTGTCTTGGAATTTTTGAGCATACCCACTTAACCATTTCCAGATTTTGGATACGAATCGCCTCCAACAGCGGCTTCGTGGGCTCATGCTGGCGATAGTGTGACTCTCAATGATGTAGAGTTCGTTAACTCTGTCTTTTTCTTGGTTTGGTTGAGTACATTTGAACTGCCGTGGATGCGATTGAGCAGTGTGAGTGAGTTGAATGTGCAAGCCTTGCGCAACGGCAACTCGACTGACGAGTCCAAGTAGAGGGATACAACTTCAACTATGCGCGAGATGTCTGTGAGCTGGGTCCTCATGCGGAACAAGAGCTTCACAACGAGGGGCAGGGGATCACGTTGACGGCCATGTCCCTACAAGTTAACACAGCCCACTATTATTGTACAAACTGTCCACCGTAATTGCTGGCAACAACAAATGTATTCTAGAACCAGGGACATGATCAAACCTATGAACTAGAGCACGCTGCTACGCTACAGTACTAGTCCGGCGATATACGAAGCTGAAGCGAAGTCCATTGAGTGGGGCGATACCGACCTGCATGTTGTTTCGACTGATTAAAAACTCGACTAAAAAAGCACTTTTTCTCTGCACAAAATGATTTTTGTGCTGAACACCATTCTTTGTGGTAAACATCATTTTCGACACACTTAAAGTTTGTAAAATGAAGTGTCCATTTCGCCATAATGACCGATGGTATCCCGCCGTTACTTGTTGTGGAGCTGCTGTTCCGTGCCAAGAACACGGTCGCACACCTATCACACGTAGTCGAAGCCGTCTCTCTGTATTTGGACTCCTCCGTCGAGCTGCCTCTGCATAAGGCGTGCAAATTCAACTCGCTCAAGCTTCTCAACCGCCTCTACGCCAGCAGCTCCATCTTGCTCCAGCAAACCAAGAATGAGACCGGTTACTACTGGAGTTTACGCACTTTAATTCGTCGAGAAACGCATTACCGCCAGTTTCAGTTCACGAAATCGCTAATGGAGGCGATTCGTACCCAAAATTTGGAAATTATCACGTGGATATGTACCAAGTTTCCAAGAAAGACAGTTACTCCAGAGGTTGTAGAGCTCGCTACTACTACAGGATCGCTCCCTATTCTACAATACTTTTGTGACAATGACAATACTGTACTGGCAGACCGTAGATTTGTAGCCAAGCGCAATGTGGGGTTCCGAGTTGAGTGGGGAAGCCAGATTTTGTCCGCTGCGATCGCCAGTCATCGCGGTGACATTGTATGGTGGCTGGATAACACTGTTACTGCATCATTCGATTGGAATAAGGCTTTAACCACGGCAGTAATTAGCGGAGATATCCTAATGGCAGAATGGTTATTATCTCAAGGAGCAATGTGGTCGCGACGATCTCGAGGACGTTGTATGGCTCATGACGTGGTGTCCCAGGGCCGATTAGATGTTCTACGGTGGCTAGAAAATCGAGATTGCCTTGATGATATTGTGGGGCTAGTGGTTATAGCAGCACAATGCGGACATTTAGAGATTGTACGCTGGCTGATTGACCGCGATGTTGTAGAAGGTGGAGACCTTACACATTTGGGTAAGGAAGCCAGTCTGGCGATTCATATTGCTGCTGTGAATGGGCATTTGCAGGTTGCAAAGTATCTTCGTATCCGAGCTCAGATACCTACGAGTGCAGTGGAGTGTGTCCTACAAAGAGCAGAACAGTCCACTCAGCTGCGAGAGTTGTCAGTGCAGTTAGATACGAAGAACGAAGCTACCAGAGTGTCGTGGAAAACTGCAGCAATTGCCGCAGGAAGGGGCCATCTTGATGTTGTGCGATGGCTTTGTGAGGAATACGCCGATGGCCAAGAAGTCAATTTATTCGTGGATTACAAAACTGATAAAAAGATTTCGGCTGCAATGGACACTGCGGCAAGGAACGGACGTCTTGAAGTGTTGGAATATCTTCATAACCTGCAGAAGTCGATAGATACACCTCTGAAAAAGCGTAAGCGTGATGAAATGAGTCCTCCGTCTCCGATATGCTCGAAGGCGGCAATGGACGAAGCAGCTGCTAACGGACATCTTAGTGTCGTTCAATGGCTTCACGAGAATAGGACGGAGGGCTGCTCCATTGAAGCTGTGGATGCTGCAGCTGCAGGAGGCCACCTTGATGTGGTTCGATGGCTCCATGAACACCGGAAACAAGGATGCACAACTGCAGCAATGGACGGTGCTGCGCGCAATGGCCATCTAGAGATGATCCAATGGCTGAACGACAATACAAGTGCTGGATGTACCACAGCTGCTATGGATCATTCGGCCATGAATGGACATATCGCTGTAGTTAAGTGGCTACATGAGCACCGCAATGAAGAGTGCACTGTTGCAGCGATGAATGGAGCAGCAGCGAATGGATTTCTGAATGTTGTGAAGTTCCTTCACTGCAACCGAACGGAAGGCTGCACCACTGCAGCGATGGATAACGCGGCAAAGGGAGGCCATCTGCAAATTGTACAATGGCTTCACTGTCATCGTGAAGAGGGCTGTACCAGAGCCGCTATTGACAATGCCGCTGCATCTGGTCACTTCGAAGTGTTTCTCTTTTTACGCTATGTATGTTCGCAGACATGCACTGTTAAGACGGTACAAGCAGCGTCAGGCAAGGGATCACAGCAGATTCTTGCGTGGATTCGTGCCAACTACCGCGCTCTCCGAAACGTCAGACAACAATGACAGTTTCCAGAGCACAAGAAATTACCGGAGATAAGAAGAAAAAAAAAACTTTGTACGTAAAAGTATTATTGAGTATCACAGCCAAGAAGTAGTGTGGCCCTCTTTCGTTATGTAAAGTTCGAAGGCCTCTGCATGGGTGAATGCTGGAGCACTGCTGAGCTGATCGTTTTACCTGCATTCGTAATTGTGCAGCTGGGGTTGGCATGACAGGATAATGCCAGCGATCCATGCGGAACCCAACCGAACTTGAGATGGGCCTCACGCTGAAGGTCACAAGCTCGTTCGACTAAATCAGTAACAGCACGAAGAGCTATCCCAGCTGCTTCTTGTTCTCCATCTGAAGGATTTGGCTCTGGCGACCGAACTAACGATTAGCTTACGGACTCAAAACTTGAAATGCTGTCTGGCTTCACTGTCAGCTTCCGCATCGTCACCGTCGCAGCGGGACGGTCGTGCAAGGATGAGCTCTAACTGTAGATGTAGCTCAACTTGCGGACAACTCTCCCTTCAATAGAAATTCAAAACTAGAAAACGTTTCGCTGCATGCAACTTGACTAAAAAAAAAATTCTGAGTCAACACCATGTCGTTGCACGAGCGCTGCATGCCAACCATGATCTCATTGCCGCATTTTGGCCCGTCCACGCGAGTAGCCGCTTCAAAAAGTCTGCATAGAGATTAACCAGCCTCGTTTTTGATGCAAACGTTTAACAGGGTTGCGACGTAATGCCAGCCGTGCCGTGCGTGGTGAGCGCAGATGGCTACTGTCCATCAGCCGGAGATCCAGTCGTTGTGAATGGTCATTGTGTCTTCACTCCAGCATTTCCTATCGAGTAGCCACGCCACAATGAAAGGCCGATTCATCGTCAATCCATTCAAGGAGCTCAACTTATCTTTAGAAGACCGAGCTCGACTCGAAGACCTGGCTAACCAATGTATCACAACCAACCTCGACTTCTGCGCCAAGTTTAATGCCAGGAAGCGCATAGTGGACACGAACCATTGGAAATTGCTCAAGGAGGGCGAGAAACTCAAGGTTTACTCCGAGCGATCAGGAGTGACGACAACCGCGGTTACTCAAGGCAACGAACCGACCGGATCGGGACTTCCGATGCTTCTTTGTGTGGGTACAATGGAGGGGAAGCTGGACGATCTCATGTTCGGTGCCATCAGCGAAAACCTCGAGACGATGCGAGTGAAGGCTTCGTACGTCGAAGACTTCAGTGGCGCCGCCGTACTGGACGATGTGGTTGTCCCTACAGAGGAGAAACCCTTCCAATCATTGGTGATCAAGTGGATGGAACTGGACATTCCCTTCCGTTCGACCAATTTGGTTAAGAACCGCGACTACGTGTACCTGGAAGGCACAGGTTACGTTCGAAACGAGCAGAACGAGCGTATTGGTTACCATCTCTTGCACTCAGTGAGCTTTGCGCAGACTCACCAACTTCCAAACCGAGTGCGTGGTAACTTGTCCTTTATCGCATTTTGGCGTCAACGTGGCCCCAACACGATGGAAATGTACGCCACGAGTGTCATGGATCCGGTCGATACCGGATTGATTCGTAAGCTTGTGGTCCCGAACATGGCCAACGTCTTCCTGTCCACACTGAAGTACGCGTACTGCGGCCAGATGCGCAAGCTCACGTACATGTTGGACAAGAAATACGCTGAATCAAGGTTACGAGGAGCACCGAACATGAAGAGGATCTGTGTCACGTGTTCGTCGCCCGTGAATAGCCGACGTCTTGGCGACTTTGGCAAGAGCAATAGCGCGTGTAGATTGTGCTTTGGCTTCGTGTGTACGGCCTGTAAGATCACGAGAAAGTTGAGCTTCGTGGATCCGGATCTACTGCTGTCGCAGCGCAAGGTGACGTTCTGTACAGCGTGTATCAGTGAAGTAACCAGCATGAGCGCTATCGACGTTGCTCGCGCACTGATTGCGGCTCGAACGCAACTCACTGAGCGGGCCAGCTTCATGAGGACTTTGTCATCGGATGACAGTGGTGTGAATTCCTCCGTTTCCAGTGGCCAGTAGATTTGACAGGGTAGTCCGTATCCATGGTAGACACGGAGTTATTGCTTTAATGACATGTGACTCGGGCTTGTAATAAGCGTCGTGTAGATCCACAAGTGCTAAATGAGACTTTCAGTGGGGGAGGAGGGGGCTAATACATTAGCTGGCTCACATTGTAGCTAGCACAGTTTGCTTCAGTTGATAAGTTACAACAATTTGGATACAATAAACGCCCACATTAAACCTTAGGCAAATATAGCAAAAACTGGCAGGGCAAATTTTGCTCAATTGTAAAAATACTTGCAAATATCGGATTCATCGGGAGGAGATCCCCATTATCTACCCCAGTACTTGAAACTCCCCAAGGCTGGCACAGAGATTGACGAAAGTAGAAACCTATCCACCGCCGAAAGATTAAGAAATTGAAGGGAATGGCTTCTACAGAATTACACATTCACAGCTGAAGAATCTCGGGAGGCAGAGCAGAACTTCACCGCAAGACCCTCGATACTATTGCAGCCTTATTACGCTCCAAGACTGCAGTCTAAGCCAATTGAGAGAGACGATATTCTTGACGTCGATGTAAAAAAACGTGGAATCTCGTCTCTCTTAAAACATCAACGGCGACAGATTTGCTACTTGTATATAACAAAACTGTCGCTGTTAATAATTTTAAGAGTATCCGTATCCATTTAAAATCTCACGGCGGGTAGTTTTAAAGAGCTTGGTTGTTGCTCACACCTGAATGATTGAATAGAGTTGAGAGTTCTCATCCGTCCGACTAATTGGTCAAGAAAGCTGGAGTATCAAATGGAATTGATAGCCGTTTCGTTTTAATAGGACGTCAGTTGAATTGGCGGGTCAGAGTTGTAAAGTAGATCGAAATTCAACTTTTGCTGTCCCGTGCTGTTATCCACAGGGATACCGAAAAATAAATATACTGAAAAGGCAATATTTATTGACCGATAAAATAATTTATTTTGCTGTCAATAATGCCCATAACCCGTTATTTATGTTGATTCTATTGAAATTGTGATAATTTATTGTGCTTGCTGGCTGGCTGCGACACATAAATTGTAAGTAGCTGAGCAAAATCAAACGTTTTATCTTCTCTCGACACAAATTATCCTAATAATGCAACCGTGACATAGTGTTTTGGAAAGTGGCATCGATGGAGGTGGGTTTGAAAAGTACTTTATTCCTTTGTCAATACCTGCAATATCTTATTTTCACCTTGGTCCCATTTTCAGTTATTTATTTGACTGTATACGCCCGACCAATCCGTAATTTATTTGTTGTCATATATATAAATACAATTTTATTGTATTTTCGGAATCCCTGGTTATCCATTGGACAGGGACGTTATTCAACATATTTTGACCAAAGAAATTGCCAAAGTGGACTTTGTAGAGTCCCCTCTAGAATGTAAGATGCAGAATAACCGGCATGATTGCTGTGGTTTGTTACCAAGATCTCAACATTGAAATCGGTCTTGGCCGTGTCCATAATTGCGGTGTTAATGTGCATCGTAAATATTTGCTTTAAATAATAATCGAAAGTTTATCGTGTGTGCGGCTGTTGCAGTGACCCGTAAATATCGAATTTGAGTGTCGACAGGGTAAGAACAGTGCATTTTGTTCTGCGCGGTATGGCCCGCCAACTATCCATTACAGAACTCGCCCCTCGGTGGTTAATTGTCCCAGATTCGACGGTCCTGACAGTTCCACGATGCGAACTTTCACGCATTACATTCTACTTCTTTTGCTTGCTGTGACTATCCTGGTCGAAGCTATCCCCCTTCCAACGGGCTCGAGACGAACGGAGATGGAGAACACTGCATCGGTTAACGCGAATTCTCTGAACAATGCAGTATCGGTCCGTAGCAGCGGTGAACGGCTTCTAAGAGCCTACAGGACTGACAGCGAAGGTAACAGCAACAATACAGCCAAGGAAGAGAGAGAAATTCATAATACAGTAACAGCAGCCACCGCTAAAATCATCGCGAATCTCGGTACAAAATGGAAAACACTCACCAACGATGACTTCCGAAACATGAAGTTGTTCCTCAAGGCGGTTTCCAAGGATGCCGATGATACTGCCTATGATATGCTGTTCAGAAAGGGAGCAACCCCCTACAAGCTCTTCACTGAGATGAGACACAACGGTATTGATACGGAAGCAGCGATTAATGCCAAGATAAAAGCCTTGTGGGCTGGTTATTTTACATATTGGGTGAAGAGGAATGCTGGAGAAATTAAAGGGGTTAAATAAATGCTTGCAAGGCTTTTTTACGTAGTACTTTTGTAGACGCTTTCGGCTCAAAATTTCAGTTCCGACAAATTTTTACAGTCAAACGCGGTGAGCTAAGTAAACAGTAGAAGGCTTTTGAGCGAAGATCAACTTAAACTTTGTTGGACAGTAAAGCCATTATTTGGCACAGAGTCGGATACATGTCTGGCATAACAAATTCGCCACCGTTAGTGGCACAAGGGAACCAGTTGCTGCAGATGAACTACAATATTCGCTAGACCAGTCGCGAAGCTTCAGCAAGCCTTCAAGCACCTGCGCAACGGTCGTGCAGCCGGCCGGGATGCTATTCCATTCGAATTGCTTACGTATGGATCCATTACGTTGACCCAACCTCTTGCCGACATCCCCAACCACACGTTCGTTACTGGAGCACACATCCACCTGGGTAAAGGGATCCTACTTGGGCCTCCCAAGCCAAACAAGCTAGCCAACCAATGCGCCTATCGTCCTACTCAACAGCACCCGCAAAGATATTTCGCTAGTGGTACTACGCCACATTTCTCCAAAGGCCGAATCATTTCTATCACCACGCCAAAGTGGGTTCAGGCCCAGTCGTAGTACTGCTGACGCTGTATACCTGCACGTATAGTGATATACCAAGAGTGATTTCGCATTCTTGGAAGTGACCTCTCGCGTGTTTTCGACACGTCAACCGCGGCAAGCACCTACGTTTTTTTGAGTGGACGTTAACAAGGATAGCGTTCGCCTCATTCTACCCTGATCCGAGGCACCACGCTCTCGCTCCAATTCGACCCCGCCTTGTTCTATGTTTTTGATAGCAACGCAAGTACTACCCCAGGCGACTCACTATCACCCGTTTTATTCGTTTTGTATCTTGAAGCAGCCTTACTCGACCTGGCCTGCCGACTCTACGTCCCGCACAATCATCTTGCTAATGTAATTGTGTGACGAAGGACTACCTCCATGCGGTTTAAACGACCGATCAGACTTTACCAAATTTCAGCAATATTTATACCCCCTTGAAACAGTTACCTGTCCTATTCGTTATATACCTTGTATAGCGAGATCTTGAGGTAAATACGAAATCCAGTTCGAATATTGAGCAGCGCTTCGTGCTCATTTTCAAAACCAAGACCATCAGCTCAAGACACACGCAATGAAGCAAGCATCAGACGAAGATCGGCAAGCAATGTGGGAGACCCTCCTCTTCTACAGCAAGAGAGGAAAGCTAGACCACGGTGATATTACGTGGATAGCTGACCAGCTACAGTTAGGCCTCATAGTCGTCTCCCGCATTTGGCACCAAAGAATCCTGTCAATGGGACACCGCAAAGCTTCCGTTGTAAAATCTAGAGCGAGTGATCGGGAAAAGAAGCAAGTGGATCGGCACGCTCTGTGTCAGCGTATCGCCGAGATTCCTGTAGCTGACCGCAAGAATCAAGAGACGCTGCAAGTAGCTACAAATACGAGCAGCTATCTAATTTAGCAGCTCGTCAAGGAAGGGTATTTACGCCGAGCGCACCATCGGACGCGACTTCTACTTAGTACAAAGCACAAAGAGGTTCGATTACAGTTCTGTGCAGGGCTCCGTGATATGGCATTTATAATCTATTATCTCTTAACAAACGCCTCAACATAATAATGCCATAATTGCTAATGCTTAGTTGCGCATTTTACGCTTCACAGCTTGAATGGTGCCTACATCCCAGGCATCCCTATTATACGAAAGAAACATTAGCACTTCTAGAGTATTCACGTCCATGCTTTGTCGGAGATCCGAGTACACCAGCTTAGCCTATGAAAAGAACCTCTCGCACTCGTTCGACTTGGGGGGCACCCACGCCAGCGGCATGTACGATGTCGCTCCCTTGACAGCTTTCTTGAGCACCGGTGCTAAGAATGAGCGTGAGTTTGTCTCTGGTGCGGGGTCAGCGACTGGTTTCTTAAACATCTTACAGGCTTCTTGTTCGCATGCAGAAAGCCGAGTCCCCGAAATAATCTTGGCGATCCCGCTCTCCAGCGCCGGATAATTGACGATTGCTGCGTCAGGTGACAGGCGTGCTTTCATCGAGGGGTATTGACGCCCCACCCAGTCAAACGCTCGTCGAGCACCCACTGTTGTCAGCGTGGAGTCTTGCAACGCTTTGGTAACATCGTTTAGGTCCATGAGAGACTCGAGTAGCGACTTGGCGCGTGATGATTCATCTTCATCCAACAAAAAGCTAACGATGTCATGCTTGGCTATGGTGGCGTGGTCCATGGAAAGAAGGGCTGGATGCAACTTGACGTAGCGTTCAACCATGTTGAACGTGCTGGACCAGCGGGTGGCATTACGTAGCACGGGGGCCAACGG